TACTTGTATATGTGTATTCATTTTCAAGCTTGATAAAGCCAACATGCAAAAATATGTATCACTTAGGTTACTTATCCTATTTTCTGTTCGAACGCGCTTTCTTTTTTTTGTTATATATCTTTCTCTACATGATTATTTTCTCTTTGTAGATCCTTTAGGCTTGGAGCACCATAATAGGTGGTTATAATTGGCTGCATGATTGTGGTTAGATGTCGCTTTGAAAATTCGAGGTTTTTTAGCTATTTTATACTACAAGTGTAGGTTAGTTTTTGTTGTGAATGTGTGTGTCTTTTTTTTTTCTTTGCAACTTTGATTCATCAGGTTATATCTGTATGCAGAGGTGCATTTATTTCGGGTTTGAAGAAGCTAATAAACAAAAATATATATCTCTTGAGTCACCTATCTGATTATCTGCTCGAATCCACTTTATTCTTCAATAGGTATTTTTGTTTTGCAGATTTTGTCCATTTTTTTGTGTTATATATATATATATATATATATATATATATATATATAATAAATAAAAAAGGAAATAAAGAAAGAAGATTCGAGCAAAAAAGATTATTTAACCCGAGTGATACGTATTTTTGCTTGTTGGCTTTATCAGGCCCGATATGAATGTACATATGTAATTACAAAAGCAAATACACATGCTTACATCCGGATATGGGTGCAACCTGAAGAAACAAATATGGTGAACGAATAAAATGACACACGAAATCAAGCTGACATCTAACCATAACAATGCGATCGGTTATAAACACTACTATAAGCCGAAAGAATTTTATTCATGTGGCGAAAGGTATACAAGGTGTCCCATATACCTATTTGATAGTTATTCTAAAAATAATAATTTTAGATAGGAAGAAAGACAAGAATGCAAGTATTACATCCTTATCATTTTAAACGGATGCAGCATTTAACGGAGGCAGATTTTTTACTATGAAACGAGTTTTGCCAGTGGATATTAGCAAATGAAAATATTATTCCTAGAATATTATGGTCGGATGAGTCAATATTTACTAGGAATGGTGCTTTTAATTTCCATAGCATGCATCACTGGTCAGATGAAAATCCAAAAGTTGTTCGACGTACAATTTTCCAACATAGATTTTCATTGAACTTATGGGCAGGAATAATTGGGGATCAAGTAATTGGGCCTATTGTACTTCCCAATCTTCTTAATTTAGAGGTGTATCTGAACTTTCTTCAGAATGAGCTTATGGATATAATACCATTGGATGTGCGCCAGCAATTTCCAGAAATATGTTTTATCAACATGATGGCGCCTCTACACATTTTGGACGCAATGTTCGAAATTGGTTGAATGTCAATTTTCCAGACAGGTGGTAAGGCCGAAGAGGTCTTATAACATAGCCGCCACGTTCACCTGACTTAAATTCATGGATTTCTATTTTGGGGGTCTTAAAAGACCTAGTTTATTCGACTGAAGTTAATACTTAAGAAGATTTACTTCAAAGAATCCATTAGGTTGTAAATGAAATAAGCAGAAGGTTTTCCATTTTTTGGGCTACGCAATCATTAGTTCGTTGAGCGAGACTCTGTATCCAACAAAATGGGAATTTATTTGAACATTTATTGTGAAGCTAGTTTTTAGTATATATAATCTGCATGTCTTCTTTTTTAAATAAATTTCAATTTCGTTCGTAGAAAAAATTTATTTCTTTTGTTTTGCCTAAATGTTAATTATGTTGCAATAGAAATATGTAGTTATGTAATATTTACCAATTATTAAATTAGTTTTTTTTGCTGCCATGGCTAATTACTCAACAATTCATTAAATTCGCAGTACATTTCCTATCATATGACAATTTTTCAGTTTGATTTTATTCAAAAACGGCACAATTATCGATATTAATAAGAGTACCTTTTTTATGTAAAAAACCTTAAATTTTCAAATTCTAAAACTGAATTTCAAAAATAGAATCACACAAAAATTTGGGGCTAAACAACCTGAGTCCGTCTCTGTTATATACGCTTACAAAGAAAACTGTCTAAAGTTATTAATATTTTTGAATTCAACATAAAAACCAAGGCTAGAATACCAAATTTTAGGTCTTTATTCAAGACGTTCGGAAATATTAAGGAAAACCCATCTTCAGGGGAGCCCTTTTAAAAGACTGTAACGCCCTTATGAGAGGTTTGTAGATCTATGTTTATATAAACTTTTTTCCTATTTTAAGCTCTAGAAACCGCTAGTAGCATATTGCACACTTTTTTGGGACACACTGTATAACAAATAAATAAAATGATAGGTAAAATCCACTAAAATAGAAAAGTGGATTCGAACAGACAATAGGATAGATAACTCAAGTGATACGTATATCTACTTAAATATCTTATATTTCGTTTGAATCCGCATAACCCTTTGCTGTTTGTAAATTTTTTAAATTTGAAATACGAAGGCAAGTCATTATAACTGGCCACATGATTGTGATTAGATGTTGTAGTAGTAGAAGTATTTCACTCATTATACTATAATGTGTATCAAAATTACGACAGTTGAACAAATAATTTATCTATCCTAAACCTCAGACTAATTTTGTATAAAGATAGTGTCTACTACATATGAATTGAAATTTTAAGTTATGAATTTAATTTAAATTATATTTTATTATTTAATTTTGGATCTAAATTAATATTAAAAAATAAATGAATTCTTTACCTTGTATTTGAAAGTCGTGATGGACCTGGTATAGCAATGTGATTATTGGGGAATGCAGTTATAATTCTACTTGCTTCGTTAATAAAAACCTCCTCATTTGATTGGCTTACTGAGCATTGTATTAGATGTTGTGATATTACTGGAAGTGTTGACTGCAGAGGTTCGTTTGGTTTTTTAGATTTTTTCAATGGTGTTTTGCCTTTGTTCATTTTTCCTCTGAAAATACAAAATAAACAAGTAAATTGTTAGGTAAATATTTAATGGCATAATGGAAAATATGATGATAGAAGTAAAAAGCATACAAAAGAAAAAAATATGTATTACTTTATAGAGAGAAAAATTAATTTATTTCAAAAATAGAAATGGAAACTTTTAATTCATCCCAAATTGTTTCATTTTTTCAATTCCTGTTTTACAACTTGATAGTTATTTTTTGATTCTATATATGCGTACTTTTTTGCTTATTTAGTCAATTTTATTATTATCATTAATCAAATAATATATGTAACATTACATGAAAATTATCTATTATGATGCATGTCATATCACACATTAGTTATGTAATATATTGTTGGTATGAAAAAATATAATTATATTCTGATGTATAGACCAAATGTTAACGAAAATTAATGTTAGGTATACAATTTAATTGAAAAGATAATAAATATTAAATTAATACACTTACTTTGTTGTTGTTTGTATAGGAATGTCTGAACTTGCTGTAGTGTTATGAATAACCATTTGTTGATCTATTGTAGAAGAAGATGTAAGTGATGAAGAGGAGTGATCACTGTGTAGAGAAGCTGTATGAATTACTGTATGTTTTTTTCGTTGCTTAGACATAACTTCCTTTTATGTTTACGTTTTTTCCCTTTTACCGAGATGTTTGACTCCTGTGTTTGACCTGGAGTATGTCTACAAAACATTAAGACTAAATTAAGGTATAAATTAAAATGAATTAATACAATATATTAATATCAGAAATCAAGGTTGAAGAAAAACTATGTTTTAAAGAAACAAATTTATATTTGTCTTGTTTAAAACTGTGTTTTTTTTTTGTTTAACATATTCAAATTTAGCAGAAAAAAAACATGTTTAAAATACTGTTAATGCATGTTTGAAACAGTAAAAAAATTAAAAAAATATTGCTTGTATAATCTAGGGACATTAACGAAGTTCCCTGAAAGTGTTATTACATATTTGATCCAGCTCTATTAGAACACTCTCTAATTAAAAAACGGACTGTACTGAAATTGGAGAAGTACCGTTGGTCTCTGAATAAGTTAGTGACGAATAAAAAAAGAAAGGGAAAGGGTCTCATATGGAAATATTTTAAGAAGACTGATACCAAAGCCGGCTCGAAAATAAATAAAAGAGCAACATGTTTAATCTGCAATATGGAGATACTGCCACTGGTGGCTAGAATGTGCATTCAATTTTTTTTATATTCCAACTACCACGAAGGCTTAAGGCCTAAGCACCCATTATGTACTGTGGGCTATGGGGGATACATACGAAAGGAGGGACGCCACATGGACTCTGGCGAGGGAACACGTGTGCATGCAACATGCACACATTCTGGCTCTGCCTACGAGAACCGTCGGGTGGTACCTCCACGTTCGATATTCAGAGACCATCTACCACCTATGGACAATCACAACATCCATAGCCAAGAGAAAAATTTCTTCTGGGACGAGACTCGAACCCGCACAGCGCACGGCGACTAATCAGGAGACGGAAGAGTCTACTACTGCGGCCACTGCTGCTGCCTAATTATATTGAAAATTGTAGACAACTCAAAAAAAGAAGTTTGTTAGAGAATCAAAATATTCATATATCAGATAGTTTTCATACTAATAGTGATTATGTTTCTATTGAATCTAAACAACCAAAAAAAAAACAAAAACATTTTGCTTAAAACAATAATTTTGTCAGAAGTAAAGTAGAACTTGGATAAAATAATGTGAAATACTATAATATTGTGGCAGAATAGTAGGTGTCAAATCTCATCTCATGTAATTTATCATGTTCTGATCAATGAAGATCATAATTTTTTCAAAATATAAATTCCATGAGATTTTTTAAAGGTTATGTTATTTGTATAAATTATGCAATTTGAATCAAGTTCTATATTATTAAAACAGTGATCTTTGTTGTAAATAGTTGTATAGAGTATATATACACAAGGTGTATTTAAAATAAATTATAATTAAAAAAAAGCTTTAATCATAAATTGTTATTATACAAATACGTAGTCATGCCATAAGTTCTGTCCCTCGTTTTCAAACAAGTGTAGACCTGTTAATACTTGTCCGATTGTTTACATTGTGGTGTCAGTTGATTAAGCGCTTTTCGGGTAATTACATATACCTCAGTTTGTATTGATCTCTCGAAGCATAACGATGGAGTGGGGCAAGGCAGAGAACCGTATTGCAGTGATAGCTTTACATAAGTGTAATCGCAGTGCTAGTCAGATTTTTGAACTCTTACGCGGCCTTCAAATATCGCGTAAATTTGTGTCTAGGACCATTCAGCGGTACAATGAGACGTCCTCTGTTGATGACAGGCCAAGAAGCGGAAGACCTCGTCAAGTAAGGACTCCAGCAGCCATCAAAGCCGTAAAAGCCAGGATTCAAAGGAATCCACTCCGGAAGCAGAAGATCTTATCCAGGGAAATGAAGATTCCTGTCCGGACGATGTCGCGCATCATTAAACAAGACCTAGGGCTAGGGGCTTACCGGAGACGTACGGGCCAGCGACTTACGGCCACCTTGCGACACATCAGGGCGACAAGATCCAAGAAGCTCTTGGAGAGGTACGCAGCTGGGGGATTCCGAAAGATTTTGTTCACGGATGAGAAAATCTTCACCATAGAAGAAAAATTCAACCGACAAAATGACAAAGTGTATGCAAGGAGTTCACAGGAAGCTTCGGAGATCATTCCGAGAGTTGAGAGAGGCCACCACCCTGCGTCAGTCATGGTTTGGTGGGGGGTGTCCTACGAAGGGGTCACTCAGCTCCATTTCTGTAAACAGGGCGTGAAAACAAAAGCGGCAAACTATCAGAGCGACATACTGGATCCTATCGTCAAGCCTTTAAGTGGTACATTGTTTGCCAACCAACACTGGGTCTACCAGCAGGATTCCGCCCCCGCTCACAAGGCTAAGAGTACGCAGCGCTGGCTGGAAAGCAATGTGCCAGAGTTCATTGCTGCGGAAGATTGGCCCTCAGGGAGTCCGGACCTCAATCCTTTAGACTACAAGTTGTGGGACCTGCTAGAGCAGTTGGCCTGCTCCAAAGCCCACCGTAATATCGAGTCCCTGAAAGCGGATTTGATCCGATCAGCGGCAGCTATTCCTTTGGAAGCTGTGCGTGCAGTGATAGATGAGTGGCCCGCGAGATTGAAGCAGTGTGTGAAGGCCAAGGGGGGACATTTTGAATAAAACTGTTTGATTATGAATTCTAAAAATGTTGTCGAATAAATAATATCTTTCATATAAATATATCTTATCTTGTTTCATTTTTATCATGAGATTATCATGGGACAGAACTTATGGCACGACTATGTATAGCTAACTGTAGCTCATATCTCTTTTTTTGTTGTAATTGAATTATTTGTAAATTGTAAAATACTTTAATTCTTATGTTGATATACTAAATTAATTAATTATGTTAGACTGTTAAACTTTCTAATAAGCATTTATAATTAAGAACGGTCAATCTTCTTAGAAGAGTAAGGTTCATACGAAACAAGGTTTGACCAATTTCTTGTGATTAATGCTAGCAATATGATATTTTTAATATTCTGTTTTTCATTCATTTTTCGACATTTTGTCATCTTATATTGGTTTTAAATACAAACAATCTGACAATACATCAATATGTGTACCTTCGATTAGCCTTACTGACTTGTGAGTGAGCAATTTATAAGGCTGATGCACATTATATCACTTTTCAGTTTACTTAGATAACGATATATTAGAGAAATTAATTAAAACTACACGTCGATTTAAAGCAGATATTTGTGCTAAATATGTAAATTTTAAGGTTAGATTGGTTCTCAAGAGGTGTCTATAAAAACTTGTTAATATAAAATAAATACTTACGTTGCTGTGGAAGGACCAGGCTGTGGTTGCTCTACAGTCATAGACTCTGCAATTTGTTCAATTTCGGGTTCATCTTGCATCGAATCATTTATAGAAATAGTTGTAGGATTCTTGATGATACGTTTCTTGGCATACCAGTTGTTTCCTCTCTTCTTTTTAGGCATGTTGATGATTGTATATAGTTTTGAAATACTTACCGACTATAATATAAAGCTAATAATGAAAGTATATATATATATGTATATAACAAAAAGCAAATTGTGACAAAATTGCAGCTATATTTTATGTTTGCAATTGCAAGCTTTCGTGTTCAAAACATAAATGCTTTCGTGCTCACAACGCTCACGATCACATTTACTGAACAAAATGGAAGTTTTGGCGGTAAAGTCAAGCTGTCATTTGTTATAATATCAGCTTAGTCCCCAATGTTGTCAGAAGTAGCGGCGTAGCGGCAGAATTGGATTTTTTGTTAAAAGTGTTGGAATATTTTAATTTAGGTACACGTGATGGATATTTTTATTAAAAAAAAAATTGAGTATAGTTAGTAACCAAATCTAAATACAGGTATCTTTCAAATCGACAGTGGTAACCACCAGTGGGTAATTGTTATTCAACGGAAACGCGTTTTGATGGTAGTAGGTGGTAAAAACAGTAAGAACATAACTTGTGAAGTGTATTTCCAAAGTATGTTTAATAATCTTAACATCTGTCACATGGTAATGCAGATGTTGAGTGGATATTTTTATATATGGAAATAATGAAAATAAAGAAAAAGAATCGTATTTTACTTTTAATTTTATTCGCGATAGTTATCAAAGTGGATACAATACAACAAAATGTTGCAGCATAGACGAGTTTTGTGAAATATACTTTAAAAACACTAAAATAATTTATATAGTATAGAGAGAACAGAAATGCAACAAGAAGAATCCGATACCGACAGTGACTAATTTTAAGTAACTCAAAAACCTCATTTTTTTTTTATGCAAAACAGAAATGGCCTTTAGTCATATGCTTTTTATTTTTTAGTTTCCTGTGATATTTCTTTAAAATGATTGCGTAATAAATGTTCTGTTGTTTGACATTTATTGGTAATATTGTATTGATTTTTATAGTCAAATGTTTTTCTTTACATTTGTTATATGTTATATTTTATCAGGCTGTTTAGTTTTTGTTTTCCTTTTTTCACACAATCTATATAATCAATACCCCCCTGTCTTATGATAATACGACACCCCTCTCCTTCCCCTCCAATAATCCACGGGCTAGTGGAAAATAGCCAAGTTTTTCCATACTAATGCCGAAATTTACAATGTTGACTCTGGCAACACTGTAGTTCTTTTTCAGTGTTTTTGACAGTATTAACGGGAGTTAGCCGGTGCAGTCTATGAAGGTCGGCATCATAGTTGGTGTAGCGTTGTATTTATGTGGTTTTAGTAAAACTAAAAATATAGTTACTTTGTAATGAAATACGCAATAGCTTTAATTAATTTGAAAATAAGTATGAAATAGTGAGCTGATTTTTATGAATGTAATGGTAATTTGGAAACAAATATATTTCAAATATATTACTACAGCTTTTGACTAAGAGATGGTAGCACCTTTAACATTTTTCAAAAATATGAATTTAACCGCCTTTGCAAATAAGGGAATCATGAGTTCATTCTTTATAACATGGCCGTATCGGTTTCTTGCAATGGGTACTTTTGCATTGTTCTACTTATTTCTTTTGTTAATTACCTGGATACTATTGTAATATAATAATTCTTTTGATAAATATTTGAAAGAATAAGTTGATATACGCCATCTAGAATGTGTTTACTGAAATGATCCGATGTCTTCTTCTTCTATTCATCATTGTCTGTCAAAGCGGTCCGTAGGATCTGATGTCATTTCCAAAGCAGGGTTTAGATCCATGGGCGTCCATTAGGGTTTAGCTTTAGCTTTTAAATCAAATATTTTTAATAAGATATTTATTCTTGGATAAAAAGTGATGTGTGAGTATTTTGAATAGTTGAGAGGTAAGTTTCTTTCTAGGGTATAAATCAAATTAATCGTGCAACACAGCGTTAGATTAGCGGCCAAGCAGCGGGGTTAAGGGGATGATGCGCAAGATTTAATTATGTATTTTGTATTTGATTTCTAATAAAAAAAATTGTGTAGAACGTGACTTATTATTGTAGTTTAATTGAAAAAGTGGAACGTAAAATTGAATAATGTTAGTCGAATAGTCGACGTTATTATATTTATCACCCAAAAATGCATATTAAATGAGATGTATAAAGAATACTTTTATAAATATTTGTTATTGTTTTCGATTACATTTCTAAAATTTAAAGTTATTGGTGTCAATATTACAAATTGAAATTAGTGTATTTGGCCGAATTAAAAAAAATACATATATTAATTTGGAGTTCATACATCGGCAAGCGGCTTGAAATTTACCATTTTTATAACTATGCGGAAAATAAAATAGATAGTAGTTTTATTTCTATAGAATTACATAATTCATTTGAAGTTATCATTTGACTAAGTTTCTCATCCATGTTCCATTAGCAACGAACTGAAAGTATGAGTTTGTAAATCCGTTTTTGGTCGTATATGTATTGTATCGTGTGTTGTATTTGAAAATAGATCAAGAAAAATCGAGAGGTATTGTTGAACATACTTATGAAGTGATACCTTCTGTCCGACGCCTTAAAGTTAAAGATTGTCTGTAAAAGAACATTCTGCCGTTGAGGGTTTATGGCACAGAAAAAAATGTCAGATTCGACACAAAGAACCCATTTATAATAAATAGTTCAACGACCAAGTAATCAATAAATTCTGTATTTTGTGGGCCTGAAGTTTAGGGGTCCAAGCATTTTAAAAACTCTCTTTGCTATTTAAAGTGCCTACATATAAAGTTAGTTGATTGGGTCTGTAATCAGAGAATCCAAGTCGATCAATTACTATCGTTTTTATTGTACAAATTCTTGATGATATCAGTTCTTCCTAAACGTACAGTTTATCCAATAAAAAAGGGGTACATGGCTATATTTTGGGGAGGTGGAAGCAAATCTACTCTTCTACCTTTTTTCCGCATTAACCTAGTCGGGTTCGCTAGTTCTCAGCTCTTTTGATCCTGTACAATGAAACATGCCCTCCTAAATTTTGTTATTTGGACGGCCATGTATATATCCCTTATTATTGGCGCCTTTTTGTTATGAGGTTATTACACAATGGGCGATCAAGAAGATCAACGTAAGTACAATCTATTATTTCTAATATTAATGAATTTCAAGCAAATATTATCTATTATGTTTGAAATTGTTATTAGTTTAATTGTCGGTGGTTTTGTAATTGTTTTAAGATTATATATATATATATATATATATATATATATATAAACAAGCATTCTGTTCTTAAAGTATCTATAAACAAAATTTGACTGAATTTTAAAGCTTCAAGCTTGATATTTTTGGTTTCTCGTCATTGACTTTAATATTGTTATATAGTTTTTACATTTTAAATTTATAGAGAGTAAAGAACCTAATACCAAATGACTTAAAATTTATAATATGTTCTGTTCAAGAATTGGATGATTGCGTTATGTGGTTGTGAACATTGTAGAGGAAAGGTATATATAATTTATACAAATAACTTTTTAAATGTTTTGTGATTAAAAGATATAATTTAATATGTTTAGTAATTTTCTGGGACTCTCTTCCAATAGATACAAATTTCTAAAATTGTACTTTTCATCACAACTAAAAAGAAAAATCAAATATTTTTTAAAACGTTTAAATAAGCACTGTAAAGTTTGAATTTCAGTTTTAGGGTCATAGTATCAAATACTGTTATAATGTTATTTGTATGCTATATTAATAATCACCATACCAAGTTTTGTCTGTTAATTGATTTTTTCTATTTATTTTTTGATAATCGTACTAAAAATGGTTTTTTATGTTTATTTCAGGTGATGCTAAAAAAACAAATTCTAAAAGAAATGGTAAACGATATTCAAGTCATCCGTATGGTCGTCAACAAGATAGAAGGCGACTTGAAAATTGTAAGTTTTAATTAATGTTAAGATGTTACAATGTTATTTGTATGCTATATTAATAATCACCGTATCAAGTTTTGTCTGTTAATTGATTTTTTCTATTTATTTTTTGATAATCGTACTATAAATGATTTTTTATGTTTATTTTAGGTAATGGTAAAAAAACAAATCCTAAAAGAGATCCTACACAATATTCAAATCATCAACATGATAGAAGGCGACTTGAAAATTGTAGGTTTTAATTAATGTTAAGATGTTACAATGTTATTTGTATGCTATATTAATAATCACCGTATCAAGTTTTGTCTGTTAATTGATTTTTTCTATTTATTTTTTGATAATCGTACTAAAAATGATTTTTTATGTTTATTTCAGGTAATGGTAAAAAAACAAATCCTAAAAGAGATCCTACACAATATTCAAATCATCAACATGATAGAAGGCGACTTGAAAATTGTAGGTTTTAATTAATGTTAAGTTGAAAATAATTTATCTAATAAAATTGTATTTTCAGATAATATGGATGCTCTGATAAAATTTTTTAAAAGTCAGCAAGACAGCCATGTCAGGCTGTTGGAGTACCAGGCCCGCCTCCTTATGGAATGTATGAGAAAATAAAGAATTTACATAAAATATGTTTTTTCTTTTTTCTCAAATATGTTTCTGTCAGGTACTTGTAAATTATTTTGAACAGAAATGATTTTCATTATTTTTTCTCTAAAATTGGCTATTTTTGAGTTATAAGCGATTCAAGGTTTAAGAAGTCTCAAGTTTAATGCTCGAAAAGTTCCATTAGTTACATTTTTTGAATTCGTCGAGTGTTAAAATTAATGTTTAAATTTTGGTTTATATGATGAGTATGCGATATCAAATTTGGTGAACTCTTGTTTTTCACAGACAGTACATTAATCATCAAATAGCACTCGACCTTCAAGGTTCTTTAATAAATGTGACTAAAAATTCACAGAATAAAGTATGACTGTATCCTGATAAGATTTGAAATTTCATTTTTTATTTAGTGAACTCTTACATTCTAAAAGTAGCTGATTGATGAATTTTTTGCTAAACTGAAAGTATAGTAACCATAAAGGATAAATGAAATAAAAAAATAGCATACAGTTATATATGTTTATTGTTATAAAAATACAGTTCATCAGATTTTATAGCTAACAATTGATATGTACAAACTAAAAAATTGATGTACAATTAGAAGGTATCTATTATTGAGAATTTATAGTTTAACAGATTTCAGTGCTAACAATTGATGTTTTCGAATGAAACACCAGGTAAGATGTATCTCATACTGTTGACAG